AGCTGGCTTCCATTACACCACCGACGCCAACGCTCAGCTACACTTCTGCTCTAACTTCACAGACTTTTCTGTAATGTATTAGTCATTTATCTAATATTAAACAGTTCTTCAGATGTTAGATACAGTTGCAATTAGGATTTTCAAGAAACCAAACATGAAATTAGAAAGTTCTGATGTCCTGATAGGCAATATCACATTACTTCACTTGATTTAATGCGCAAAATGTAGGTTACGAAACAAGAAAAGACAAGAGAAATTGAATTATACTGAAGTAAAGCGAAAGACCTTGAATGCTACAGACAAAAATTTATATATACAAACAGAAATTTTTGCGACCATCGAATTCATCATGTGCTAATTTGAAGTTGTAGAGGTCGGATGAGTCATACGAAGGTTACGTCGTCACGTAAGGACACCAGCCTCACCGATTACTATCTCAAGTAACAAGAATTCGATGGTTTTCAAAAATTGCCTTCAGCATTAACTAAGAGGTATATTATCGTGCCAGCCATTTAGGTGACGTCGGTGCCTTATGTTTCGTCCCTGCATTCTATAAAATGCGATTCTTGAGGAGAGCAACGAGCAGTGTAGAGCTTATATAGCCTAGAAGCCTCATATCCTACCTTATGCATGACTCTGAGCGTCTTTCATTGGGCGGGTGCAAGCAGTTTGGTATGTCAACATGTGGTTATCTTATAAACATATGATGCTTGATGTTTAATAACATTTTTGCTCTGCCAGGTATAGTGGCATCAGTAAGTTCCATTCAGTATTTCGCTCGCCTTGTAAGAGGTGACCATATTAGTGCTTGATCGTAATCATTGCCATCAACAATCATCCGGTGAGGAGATTGATGAGGGAAACGAAAATCGGTTTTCAATCCTTTAAGGATTATGGAATTAATTCAGATACTCATCCCGTAACGTCAAATCTTACTCAGGTACTGCGATAGTGGCGCCGCGTCTCGTGGGAGAGCGGGCAGACAGCCAGATGCGCATGCACAGACATGCAGAGCTGCTTACGGCACAGCACCGCCTGCCTATCAAGGCAGATCCTCAAGGGGTTAAACCCATTTTAAGCCGAAGCTATAATCAGAATCACGCAATGTGGTTTTTTAATTATTGCCTTTTTCATTTTTTGTGGTACGTAATGATGCAAAATGTAGTCGCAAGAATGCTGAAATACGCACAAAACTCGGAATTGCAAGTGGTTATGCTCTTGCGATTATGCTTTTCAAGAATTCACATATCACCCAGTGCACCTTCAAGGCTGTTGTTTTGTTTTTCATCCGACCAGATACAACAGAATCGTCGTCGGGACACCAAGAATACTTGTACGCTCTTGCTGTGGCTGTTTGGTCAAGGTGACCTCTTTACAGACATGGCGATATTGGCTTGATTTTGAACCTTCTCTCCGAATTTAGATGTTATCGAGACAGCTAGCAAGTTAATTTCACACAATTTCACCTTTTCATTGACTGTAGGCTAGATTTTATCTTTTTCTCACGACTAAATGCTCGAATCAATGGCATACCACACATTGTATCTGATTCAACAAAGCCGTAAGACAAGCGAACAATGTATATAATTTATTTGTCACCATTTATTTAACATTCTGCGATCTACGTCTACCATCTATGTTTTGCATCAAAAAACAATGAAATGTTATACAGCTAAGCGTTTTCTGCTGCGATAATTACATTAACGTAAGACCTTCGATACTAATCGACATCGAGAAGAAAACATGAAAAAAGCTACGGTGAAGCGTCATAGTAAGACATCGAAACAGCAAACTTCTTCCCAATATACAGGTGCCGAGTGGCACATAGGAGTGAAAAAGTCTGATTGCTACACTGAGGTTAGAGTGGCAAAGTCCCAAAGAGAAAGGGGTAGGGGGTGAAGCAGTTCCCATGCAGGCGTTTGGAGCCCTCGCTAATTGGACATGCCCATTTTGAGTACGCGGGTGTCAACCGGTCAAGCCTCAAAGTACTACATAACGGAAAAGTGAGGTCATTTTCATTTCTTTCAGCATATTTGCTCTAACTTGATGCTATATTATAAGCGTTATAGATCGATAGGAGATGTTTATGCATTTTCGAAATATTAATTAACAGAGTGTGACTCATTGAAACAATTACCAGATTTGGAGCGCTTTATCTACTATGAACAAACAAGTGGGTTCTGATAACACCACAGTTGTTCATGATTTTTCTCGTTTTTGTTGGCCGATTTTCAAAATCCACCTCAGAAATTTCCGGTAGATTTCTCTTCTCTTCTCTAATTCGTGTACAAGTGATTTCTTTTTCTACATTACTGGACGATACAGTTTGTCTCATTCAGCTACTTTCGACGTTCCTCTTTTGTGCTTAACTAATCTCTTCATACCGTGACAGAATCCTTGACGTACTTTTGATCCCATGAGACCAAAAATAAAAGCGATATTTTGCTACAAATTGCCTAATTAAGAGGGGACTTGTGACTTGTGTAGTACAGTACTTTGAGGTGGCTTGGATTAAGCATGTGGCCCTAGTCCAATTTCAAGTAGCAGCACTGACTTGATTAAGATGCGGTACACTACAATTTATTGAAAGCGCTATAGTTCATTCAATCACTTTTACCATGACATAAATGAATTAGAATTAGGTTTTGTAATAAAAGTTTATTTTGTGCAAAATGGCACAATAGAGATCGTCTCCGTGGGCAACGTTTCGACAGTCTTTTCTTCCTCAGAGCCTGACATGAAAGAGTCTGACTGACCTACATCAACTTAGTCAAACACTTCCATAAACAAATAAGAAAGGAAACAAAAGAAAAAAAAAGAAAAAAAAATCAAATTTAGCACTGTTTTATTAAAGCGCCGTCATTTATGGATTTCAGTAAAGACGTATTTTTTCTTTTGCATAACGTTTCTGCAGTTTATCGATAGCTCAAGTCAAGTGAATTTCAATGGCATGTTTAAAATCTTAAATAGCTCATATTTCGCGCCGGACCAGCCAAAATCAGATTTTGCTTCTAATTCAAAGATTTGTCATTGAATAAAAGCATTGGTTATAAATGACTTCAAATCTTTAGATAGAGAAAATCTTTCCGATTACAATGGTATATTTGGCTTGCGAAAAGGACTTCTTCGAGCTTTGTAACAACCGAAAGAATATTGAGTTTTACACTCAGTGAGCACTTCTACATGGTTAAGGTGTGTGTACAGCTGTAATACCAAAGAGTAAGCATATTTTCTTGATCATAAAGATTTGCTCTATGTCATGGTTTAAATTTTGTTATAAAAAAATTGTATCACGCAAGAAATCTTCGAATGTGGAACAAAATTTCATTTTGACTGGTACGGCGGCTAAAGTAAGCTACTTGAGTAAATAAACATGTCATTGAAATTCACTTGATTTGAGCTATCGTTATACTGCAGAAACGTTTTGCAAAAACAAAGAATACGCTTTTACCGAAGTCCTCAAGTGGCGCCGCCACAATAGAACAGTGCCAAGAACTTTTTAAATCGCTAAATAATCAACCAGATTCAACTCACCGTTTTGTTATTATGGTAACTGCTATATATGTAGACCAGCAGCAATGAGTCTTACATGGACGAGGTGTGTGCCTGACTCAGATCGTTAAAGATCGATCCAAGATATGGCGGGAAATCACACGTGAATAGGAGGCACTCATCTTCACGGTTTATAGCGGGATTTTTGGAATGGATCCAAAACGCCTCAAGGACTTTGCGCGCCGAGGTCTTGCGTTCTTGCGCAAGGATATTTACTTTTACATCAAAATCATCCCCATCAGGTATCTGTGTCCTGTGCGTACCTAGTGGAGTATTTGGTCCAAATTGCGTTTATCGGCTAGGTTTTCTTTTACACGGACATAGAGTAGCGTATTCGTTTCGCCTATGTACTCGCCGCCGCACGCCTTGCAAGAGATTGAGTAAACTGCACCCTTACTCTTGCAGTGCAGCGTTTTTGTTGAGCGTGATTTCCTCTAAACTCATCCCGGTGGACTGCATCTTCATAACCATTTGAAATGGCTATTTGCCTAGCCAGTTCTGCGGATTCCACCTTCTGCTCCCTCCCAGTACAGACATAGGAAGCTATATGGAACATGTTTTTTTATGAACGCCTTTTTTGCATGTGAGGGGGTGAGATGAGAGGTAATGAACCAAAATATTTTTCTTGTTTGGCTTTCGGTACCACTTAGTGATACAGCCGTTGGTGAAGGAATATAAAGTAAATAAATCTATCAAAATAAAAATGTAAAGCTTGGCGAAATAAATAGATTTTCTATTTGTATAATTTGCGCATTGGTGAAAATATGCTTAATAAAATAAAATTCTTTTCTGTTTAAGCGCTTCGAGCTGTGGTATGATGTTCCAAATATACCCATCGATGTAGAGTATGTCAAAACTTTCGCGTCAGGCGGGACTAGAACCCACACCTCACTCCTTCCGAGAATGCGTCCTCTATCCGTTACACTAGTAGCGTCCATTTTGCACATCAATCTTTCTACACTACGGCGCATCACTCCCGGAAATGGTGAGGTGCGGGTTCTAGTCCCACCTGACGCGAAAGTTTTGCACATCACTCTACATCAATGCCCGTGATACCCTATACACTATCCATTTGGGCCTCAAAGAAATCTCATGCCGTCACTATAGCACTGCTGTACACGAATGACTTTGAATGGATTAAGTCACTCGATAGGCTAATAGTCAGAATAAATTTTCTCATTATCAGTAGGAAATATTACGACTTTATGCTATCGATCAATCACTTTTTTAAACAGGAATCATCAACTGTAGAGATGCTTGCATAGCAGGTGAGCCGGTCTTTATTTCGCATGAGATTTGAACCACTTGATCATCATAAAATATTCGACTTGGCAGTATCACATTTTCGTGTTTAATATGAATGAAACTCCGTAGTTCTAGTATTTTTACGGTTTTTTTCATAGTGTTATGATGTTACATTAGTACTTCAGAAAACTGAGTGGTAATCAAAAATACGGCCTTGGACGGGAGTCGAACCCGCGTTTCATCCATACCATGGACGCGTGTTACCACTACACGACCTATTCACATTTACGCCATCACTCAATTCTCTTAAGTATATATGAATGGAATGTCAACACGAGATGGGGTTAGCGCAGTCGATGGTCATAAACGCTATTGGAAAGCAATGTTCGACCCCTGCAACAACGGCTTCTTGTACTCCACGAGAAAACGCCTTAACACCCGAAGTAGCATCCGAAGCATTCGAAGGCCATTGTGGAAGATGGATGCAAGGAAATTATTGAATGCAGCAAGTGCTGGTATCTGTTCATGATATGATGAAATACGTAAACGTATGAAAATCATACAAAGCACGTGACACATCAGAACGAAGATGAAATGTAATATACTGATTATAAAATAATTGATGTTATTAATAACTAGAGACAAGGACAGTGGAGATAATGACAACGAAAATAATATTATTATCAATCACAATAATAATGATAAATCTACAATATACCAAGTTTTGGCACTAGAGCAATCAATAAACACCAAATTTATTAACGAGAATTAATCAAAACTGCTTAATGACACTATTCGAAGTACGCGCCATTAGCCCGAACACTTTCTGCCATACTGCTGGCGACAAATCACCACCGCTTGCGTAGAATTTTTTGAGTTTTCTTTTGGTACTAAATCTGTCCGTACTTGTCACAACATGGCCGCTTGACGAATCCTTCATCGCATTTTGCTCTTTTACGAGTAAGAATCAGGATGCGATGCATAGACCGCCTTGAAAAACATCAGCCGTGCGAAGATTCAAGGATTTGTGTCAAGGCAAACAGCGTTTCGGGTCCTTACTCGATTCGCATCGGTAACACCAACTTGAAGGAACGCGGCTTTACTGCAGCGCTTCAGGTGCTCACAGTAGCACTTGCCCTTAATTGTCAGCCAACTCCTCGATAGTTAAGGTCGAATCTTCTACCACTGATTCGAAAGCGGTCTCTCAATCAACTTTGCATGGAAATCTGGAGAGCAGCTGATCCTCTAAGTCGGTGCTGCCGTGGCGAAACTCAGCGAAGAACCGAAACGCAGTCCGCCTAGACACAAATCCTTGATCGTTTGCATGGTTAATCTTCTCAAAGAAGGTCTATGCATCACAACTCAATTCGTGGTCGTAGAGCAGGAAATTGCAACAAATGCTTCAGTTGGTGACTCTGATGCGGCATATATATACAGATTCAGTAGTGAAAGAAAGTTCGGAAAAATTTGCACAAAGAAGAAATACGTTCAGGTTGATGGCGCATACTTTGAAGAGTTGCTGAACAAATTAGATTACTTCTAGTTAATGTAAACTAGCGATAGTCACAAGAACTTTAAGGAGAAACAGTCCTTTTATGTCATTCTGGGGCAAATAAAGAAACGACCGTTTTCGTTGGTCAAGGAATTCCCATTGCATCTTCAGTAATCATTCGAAAGCTCAAACACTGACTAATGCGCTAGGTAGCTTTTTTTGAAGAAATTCTATAATGCCGCAGCAGAATGAAAATATTTGTTGACACACACATTTTTCTAGCAGGACTGAACTAGTTTCTGAAATTATAAGTAACCATTCGATGGCGTGAGTTTTAGTGATCCCAATGTTCTGGTTATTCTCTGGTAAGATCATTTCACTGCAGCGCAGCAAAGAAAATAAGATAGAATTTCACACGCGCCGCGCATTTGGTTGCGGGCAAATATGCATGGTGGTTTCTGCTGTTCGTAAATTAGATACGGCCTTGTGCAACCGCTCTACTGATCGTGTTCGTGCGACTCACATGTGGATCAACTTTTGGTAGTTATTTCGGGTTTACTAATCCGCTCTGAAAAGAACGCCAGATAAAATGTATGACCTTGATAATACAAGATTTTCTCTGAATATTGATTTGCTTTTTGCATTTCCAGCGACATAACAGAGAAAGCACGCCACCGGTGTAAAACAAAACATTAGAAAATAATCTCTTCATGAATGCTACAGCGTTATAAAGGGGGCGCGAAAAACGAAAAGGTAGGGTAGAGATTTATGCTTTCGAATGATTACTGATAATGTCACGTTTTTTCTTGTCTAGCGAGAGGGGTCTTTCCGTCATTTGTCTACAGTTAACATGCATAACCGAAAAATCTTTCATGCATCAACCCGTCATTAAGAGAGGCTCGCACATAAGCCGCTTTGCCACCATTGTGTCGGTGGGAGCTACAACGATGACATCTCCTTCTATTTTCATTGTTTATGCTAAAAATCTTTGCCATTTCTTCCAGGTGCAAGTAAGTGATCGCATCATTATTCTTTCGTTCAAAAGACAGCAAACAGCTAATCTCAAATGAAATTCACTTTCAGATAAGTTGCGAACTGGTGCGAAGAAAGTTCTCTCACTAACTCCCCACCTTTATCTTCTGTTGGTAGAAAAATTTGTGAAACATACTACTGGTCCAGTGGGGGTCCAGTGAGGTCCTAGTGTGGCTTCAGTGGAGCTCCAGTAGTGATCCAGTACTGAGACGCCGCCCGCGTGAAGCAAGAATTCTTCTTGCAAACGTAGCACTTCGTTACGCTGCAGCCTGTCACCTCAAATTTAAGTGAACAATTTTTTTAGCAGTATGACGATGGCACTCTTAACACATCTCAGAAGTTGAAAAAGGAGTAATCTTTTTTTTTGGAAAATTAGACCAAAAAGAAAAATAGCATTTATTAAACTTTCTGATGCCTGCTTTAATAAAAAAATTGATATTCCACTATATTTCCGGTATTAAACTTCTAACATCACCACTGTATTTATGAACTTTAATTTTCATTCTACCCTTAATTACATCGTACTGTATACAAATAAGTTGAATAGAGACAGGCATTTCTCCAAACTAGTTTTTATGAACTTGAATATTCAGTCAGAACTAAGCCAGAGATGACACAGAAACAAAATGTTCGGTGTAACAGGTGATCACCCTGAAATTTCTTATTTCACAGATTTTAGCCGTGGTATGATGTTTTAATATACCCAGTGATGTAAACTGATGTGCAAAACTTTTGCCTCAGGTGGGACTTAAATCTACAACTCACTTTATCCGGGAACGTTCCCGTTAAGGTGAAATTTGGGTTCGAGTCCCAACTGACGCAAAAGTTTTACACATCCCTCTACATCACCGGTACAGTGTGACGTTAGAAGCGGTAGATCGAAACGATTTTCTAGCCTACATTCTATAGCATTTTAAATGAGAGCGGTCGGCAATGCTCAAGGACCGCCTTGTCTCTTGCAACACGTGACACCTTTTCGTGCTGTGGTCCATCGGATAGAAAATCACCGTTTGTCACACTCCTCCCTGCCACTCGGCAACATGGCACGCGGTGAGCAGTCCGCAGTGAGAAGTGCTTCCTCCTATCGGAAGACAGATTACTGGTCCAATCCCCACCAGGACGCTTAGCTGTAGCTTTTTTGGTGCCATCTTTTTAATTTCACTAAATTGTGCTCGAAGCACTAACACACCATATCTCTTATATACTAAGAGAATTGAGTGGTGAGCAAAAATATGATCTCAGACGGGAGTCGAATCCACGTTCCATTCATACGGGGGATGCGTACTACCTCTACACCACCGGGGTACATTCGCAACACCACTCATTCTTCAATATTTATATGATAACTGTCAGCCACCAACCTTCAACAGGTTTGGTTTGGTACGCGATTTCACTTTAAAAACCCAGTTGAGTTGGTAGTCATTGTGGTAAGTAATACTCGTGGCTCCTGATGTTTTCATCGCATTTTTCGCAGTATTATGATGCTTCATATCTACCTAAGAGAAATGAATCGTGAGCAAAAATTTCTCATATAGTAAAGCAGTAACACAAGACTGCTCGCTGCGTACCATTGTGCCAAGCAGCAGAGAGGAATGAGACAGACGGTGGTTCTCGACCCGTTGGACGGCAGCATGAAGAGCCTTCCGGCGTTCCTACACTGGGGACTCGGAATGGGGAGGAGATGGGCCAGCGGTCGCTAAGGGTTGAATAGTTCAGAATTCTCTAACAAAGAAGCCAAACATTGTCCAATATCATTGTTTTTATGTCCAGCTAATTTCAACGGATTCTAAAATTCTCAGCAAGGATTGATATATAAAACTGCGCAAAAGTTCCAATACTTCACATCCGAGAGCGCCTTCGTCCTCATTATGTTGAAGGAATTTTTGTGAATGCTTAGGACAGAAGCATCTAAATAAAACTTTCTCAAAAGAAGACGATCCAGAATTTAAAGTGTCGTACACAAATCCATACCCAAAGCCAGGGTGATAGCTTTGCGTGATGTAAATTGCAGCTCCGGATATGCGTGAAAAGCGGGTTTCACTCCCGTCGGAGTTAAGGTTTTTCGTACCACTCTATACTTTCGGATGATCTTTATAACATCATACCACTGCTAAAAAGCAGAGGAAAAATAATTAGTTCAACTAGATCATTTCTCAAATAGACATATCACTCAATAGATATCCAAACAAATGAGAAAGGTCATTAGAAGAAAACAAAGAATATAAGAATACAAAATGAGGTAGAGTGATGTGCAAAACTTTAGCGTCAATAGGGACTCAAGCGCAAATTTCACCCTATCCGGGTGCGCGCGTTCTATCCGTCGCACTACCGACGCCTATTTTGCCACCACTCTTTCCACGCTTAAAACCGTTGGCCACTGGCTGCTAACAAATTGATGCGTTTTAGCGTAGAAAAAGTGGTGGAAAAAGGGTCGCTAGTCCAACAGGTGAGAGCACGCGTCCCTGGATAGGGTGAAATGAGGGACAGAATGCCGCCTGATGCAAAAGTCTTGCACGTCACTCTGCATTATTGGGTATATCTACAACGTCATGCCACCGCTAAAAGCGGCTGAATAGAAATGCATTATATAGAGAAATAAATATGTAACTCAGGTTAAATCCTCGTCGTCCATACATCACTTGAAACGAACTGCACATGCAAATGAAAGACACTTCGGCGTCCTTTGATGGAACAACCAACAAGTGCTCCCTTTTCTTCACATAGTGTACACGTCTATAATGTATCAATGACACCAGA